GAGGTTCACAACCATCCATTAGCTCCAATTCCAAGAGATTTGACACCCTCTTCTGATCGCCTTGGACACCAGGCATGCACACGGTGCCTACACATTCATGAAGACAAATACTTATACCCATAATATAAAATAAATAGATCTTTAAAAAATAAAAATAATAGCTGGGTGGTGGTGCATGCCTTTAATCCCAGAAATTGAGAGGAAGAGACAGGTGGAGCTCAGTGAGTTTGAGGCCACCCTGGTCTACAGGGTGAGTTCCAGAACAGCCAGAGCTACACAGAGAAACCCTATCTCAAAAGAAAAAAAAAGAAAGAAAGAAAGAAAAGAAAAACCAAAAAACAACAAAAACAAAAAACCCCATGGACTTTTTGAAGATTTTTTTTTGTTGTTTTTATCTTTTGTGTATGAGTTTGGTTTTAGTTTGTTTGTGGGTTTTTGTTTATTTGTTTTTGTTTTTCTTTGCCAGCTAGTTTATCTGTGCACCATACTCATGCAGTGCCCCCAGACACCAGAAGATGGAGTCAATCGAATCCCTTGGAACTGGAGTTACAGACAGTTATGAGCCACCATGTGGAGGCTGGGAATTGAACCTGGGTCCTCTGTCAGAGCAGCCAGTGCTCTTAACCACTTAGCCATCTCTCCAGCTCCCACCAGCTTTTTAAAAACTGTTTTGCTAGCTTAGAAGGCCAGTGTGGGCCACAGAATAAAACCCCTCTATTACCTTCACACACAGAATCTTACAAAATCCATATACTGCCCAGAGGTGCTGTTGCATACCTTTGATCCCAGCACTTAGGAGACAGAAGCAGGTGAATATCTTTGAGTTTGAGGCCAGCCTGGTCTATAGAGGGGGTTCCAGGTCTACAGAGGGGGTTCCATGACAGCCACCCCTACACAGGTAAACCCTGTCTCGAAAAACCAAAAACAAATTAATTTTGTAAAAAACTCCACATATCTGGATCCTGATTTCTCTATGTGATTCTAATTTCACAAAGACAAGTACATGTGTTTATGTATGTGTCTTTGTGTTCATGTCTCTGTATATGTGTGGGTTTATGTGTCTGTGTGTATTCATCTGTGTGTGTGTTCATCTTTGTGTGTGTGTGTGTGTGTGTGTGTGTGTGTGTGTGTACAGAAGCAGAGATGGGAAAAATACATATAAATGACTAAGCTTTTCTCTGCAATAGGATTATGGGTAATATCAACCTCTGCTGGAACATCTCCTTAGGTCCTGAAGTAACTATCTAGTTATCTTTATTATAAGAGAAAGCTTCTAATATTGACTTGATAAACTTGCCCTGTAGCATCCACCCAGAGCTCCACTGATGCTTAATAAGGTCAACCGGGTGAATGAGAGGTGAGCCTTACCCCTCCTACACACAGCCAGACTTAACGGAAATTGCTTCTGAGACCCTTACTAAACACCTGGTGCTGGTCCATGCCCCGTGATCTCCTCACATCCATCCTTCGAGGGTCTACCATCCTCCCATTCCACAGAGCACAACACTGAGGCACAGGGAGATTGAAGTAAGTATTGTATAAGCTTACTCTCTTAGAAAATATCAGTCAGCCCTGATATTTGGGCTTGCAGCTTCTGGTATCACCCACTGAGGCCTCAGATTTGCACAACCCTAACCTCCATTCTCCATGCATCTCAAGATGCATGGCAGAGTGGATAAGGATGGTTTAGGGGCTCAGAAAGGCCTAAGTCTATGCTGGGTGTGTTTGTCTGTGACCCCAGCACTTGGTGGGGTAGAGACAGGAATATGAGAAGTTCTAGTTCATCCTCAGCGACACAGCAAGTTGGGACCAGCCTTGGCTATAGGAGACCCTGACGTAGAAAAAGGTTGAACTTGTGACTCAACTATACTCCTTTGCAGTGGGAGGCATCTGCTGCCTCTGCACCCATGTCCTGGGCTATGAATGAGAATAGAAAGTCCCACTACAGAATTGTGGTGCAGGCTGGAGAATCCCTGGAACCCAGGAGAAGGCTCAGGAGAGATTTCGGTGTCCTTGGTGACTCCTCCCACTCACTCCGCTGGGTCTATGAGTCACACACACTCCCCGGGGAAATGATCCTAAGACCTAGGAAATGGCAGATTGTGGGCAAGCCCTCGCTGCTGCTCACTCTGCCCTCTCCCTTTTTGGTTTCACCCAAAGTCATCAGTGCAGTTCCTGCCTTCCTGTCAGGTCTAGGAGGCTTGAGTTGCAGGGAAAGGCCATGGAGGCTGGAGGCAGGGGTTTTGGTTACCTGAACAGGGTCGCAAGGTCCCTCCCATTGCCTGGCACCAGCTTCTCCTTCCCCCACTCACTCTCTGCCCACCTAGTCTGCTCTGTTACCAGACATAGCCTCTTGACCACCATTCTTCACAGATGTCCCCCGCCCTAGACACCCTCTGACTTCCCAGTATGGTCGGCCTTATCATGGGGCCAAGAACCTGTCCAGACTCCGATCCCACATCCAGACTAGCAGCCAGAGGCGCAGCACACAATCAATCTGTCCCTAACACAGCCACCCTGGCCTATCTCCAAGATTCTCCTCTAGTTCTCACTCCTCCCCATCTCCCTCTACCCCCCATCAATTCCTTCTATTGCCCAGGGTCTATGAAACCCCTCCACCATCTGTACCTTCTTGGGCATTCTAGAAGGCAGAGGCTAAGTTGATAGACTCATCACTCATCACTGAGCACTACTGAAGCTCAGGACATAGCAGATGCTCCCAACAACCCAGGGAGAAGGGCACCACTGTTGAGGCTTCTTATGCCGTTGTCCTGCAGCCTCTTATCTTCTGACCACCCAGACCCCAGATGAAAGTCCCTGCCCCTTACCAGACCTCATTGTCCCTGTGCCCCAACCCGCCTCATCATAGAGCCAACTGCAGCTCCTGCTTCCCCACTCAGTCCAGGCATCATCTCCTCTGGCTAAATCAAGTCCCTGCCCTGAATCCCACAGCCCTGGGAAGCTGCATCTGATCCTGATGCAGCATCTAACATTGGCACTCGGGAGTATGAATGTTAAGAACTAGAGGCCACCTGAGGCTTGGGCTCAGAGTCTGGGCATCAAAAGCTCTGATGGCCAGGTGTGGTGGTGCACACCTTTAATTCCAGTACTTGCGAGGCCAAGGCAGGTGGGTCTTTATGAGATGACTTGAAAGCTAGCCTAGTTCTCCATAGTGGATTTCAGACCTGCCAAAGCTGTATCAAAAACAAAAACCTAAGACTGGACAGGTGTAGCAATGAGTAACAACAGCAATTTTAATTGTTGGTTGACTAAATGTGCATTCTTGCAGGGCAGGGCCCAACATGGAAACTATAGACAATTAATCCGCAGCAGCTGGCCACCTGCAGAAGCTGCTGATGCTGGCTAATCCCAGCTCCCAACACACTGAAGGTCTAGTGCACTCCAGGTGCCTGGTATTAGGCCATTCCCTGAATCACTCTGTTCAACCTTCCCAACAGCCTATTGTAATCACCATACTTTTTCAAATGAGGTAAGTGAGGCTCAGGTAAGTTGAGCCTTCTGGCCACAGCCACTTCAGTCGGGCACATTGAAGATGGTAGAAACTAGGCACCACAACACAGCCATGGCCTTTGCCTCCCCACTGCCTCATCTTTCTGGAGTGTCTTCTGGCTGGGAGTAGAAGATCTGAACCCCTGAGACAAACAGCACATGCTGAATCTCTCTAAACAAGACAGGGCTTAGTGCTCCTGTCCCAAAGGCTGAGACCTCTTCCCAGCAGCCCCGGGGATCCTTGGCAGAAGACAGAGGGGACCACTCAAACCTTTCATTTGCATACTGCGAAGCCTGCTATGAACCCTTCCTTACCTCAGTGTGAGAGAGAAGAAAAAAAAAAGCTTTACTGACATCACTGTGCCCCCAGGTACAGTGAGTTAGAGACATTTCACTGTGTTAACTTAGGCAGTATTTAGTGGTGCACGTAGGTAGGCAAGCACTCTCCCATTTAACTCTACCTCAAGCCGGTTATCCTAGACTGGCGTCCAGTTCTCTAAGCCACCAAAATTGACTTCTGGCTTCTGAGCCTTCTGCTTCCATACCCCCCGGGGGCTGCAATCGGCCATGGACCACCATGCCCAGCTTATGGTGAGTCAGGGATTGAACCCAAGGTTTCATGAATGTTACACAAGCTCTATCAACGAGCTACATCCTGTGTCTCTTTAGACTTGTTCTTCCCACTCCCCACCCCATCTTGCTAAATTCTCAAGTTGGCCTCAAACTCACTCTGTAGCCTAGACCTCAAGAAGGGTAGCCTATCCTGAATCATAGCCAGAGTTCCTGACCACTGGGGAAGGGAAGAGAACCTATGGCCAGTCCCCGGGAAACATGGGGCTCTCTATGAGCGAACACACAGTGGAAAGACAGGAGAACTAGCCATCCCGGATGTCTCCCTCACCTAGGAGCTGAGAGGTTTGACAAGAAACAATGCAAATACGGTCTCATACAGAATCACGAACTGATGGTTTGGGACAAGCCACAGCAACCACAAAAGATGACAACCAAATGTATTTGTGGCATGTTCCTGCGGCATGGAGCTGGTCCCTGCTGTATGCTCTGAAGACCCAAGGCATGGTGTAGAACACCTCAGCCCACCTCTATGAGGTTTCAGAGGACCAAACACACACACTTCTGTCAAACTGCTGGCTCTCAAAGTGTGACAGACAAAGTGCTGCCAAACTGCCTGATGCAGAAGCAGAGGAATGTCAAGGATAATTAACTGTAATGTAGTTAGGCTAGTGCAAGCACAGACACACACACACAGACAGATACACAGACACACACACACACACAGAGAGAGAGAGAGAGAGAGAGAGAGAGAGAGAGAGAGAGAGAGAGAGAGAGAGAGGAGAGAGAGAGGGAGGACTTGGCCTCTACGCGGGACATACAGGAGCTGGGAGAGTCGGGGTTAGGGATCCAGGTCTGCAAAAACGTAGTGTCCACACTGACCCTGGGACCAAACCCCGAGGCGCCCTCGGCCGACTCACCGGACGATGCCAAACATGACAAGCACGTTGCCCAGCAGCCCCACAGCGCACACAGCCGAGTAGAGCGCGGTGATGGCGATGGCCAGGGCGAGGGATGAGGCGCTCCGGGCGCCCGGCGGCCCCGACCCGTTGGCGCTCGCGCTGGGAAAGGCGCTAGGAAAGGCGTCCGAGGCGTTGGCGAGAAGCGGGGACTGCAGCTCCGCGCGGGCAGAGGGCACTGGCTCCATGGCGCCGCCGCGTCCGTCTCCACCGTGCGCCCTGGGCGCAGGGACCCAGAGAGTGGCGCGCGGACAGTGGAGGCCACGGCCCCGACGTCGCAGGCTGCAGCGCTCGCTCCCGCCTCCTCCGCCCAGCCGGCCGCACGCTGCGCTCGCCCAAGCCCCGGGAGCCCGGAGCCGCCGCGTGCACCACGTGGCTCGGAGGCGGCCGCCAGTCTGAGCCCGCGATCGGGGGCGGGCGCTGCACCACCGGTTCGGGGTTGGGCCGGAGAGGCCTCCGGTGCGCTCCCTCGCTGGGCTCCTCCAGCTCCAGGCGCCCCCAGTCCGGCCTGGCCTCCCGCCCCACCCCGGTGCCACTTTGGAGTCAGAAGAACCTGAATGCGAATCCCGCCTCCCGCCTCTGCACGGACGAGGGGAGTAACCTTGAGAGAGTCGCTTACGCGCTCTCAAGTTCATTCTGTGTATCTGCAAGATGAAGAAAATCTCCCTTCCGCCTTTATAGGGTTTGAGGAGATGAAGATGAAGGAGTAAAGAACTCAGAATTCTCTCCTGCGACTGTTCTGTGTGCTCTATTCCTTGCCATGTCTTCTCCCTCAAGTGGTTCCTGAACAAAGAGGCAAAAACAGAACTGTCCGGTTCCCCCAAAAGATCGTAATTAAATTTGGTCATAAAATCAGGGGGAGACGCTGGAAATGGAGGACCCACCTAAGTCTGTAAGGACTTGCACAGTAGATGGCAGATGTAAAGCCATCAGGGTCCCTGTCATCTCACCACATCAAGCTGAAAAGGTCACAACTATGAGGACAGTTGGGTGTGTGTTGCTAGAAACACAACTCTCCTGTCTTGGATCTGTGCTCTGAGCTAGCAGGCTGCTTCATCTGTAAGTGAGAGCTTAAGGGAGGGAACCAGAGATCTACCAACACCCATAAGCAGCCATGCTTTTCTCCATCCCATTCATTAGCTCCACAGATCCTCTGAGGGTGCCTAACGTAAGAGGCAGGCACTTGGGTGGCCACAATCAGACGAAGGCCCGGCTCCCAAGGGCTTACAGCTCAAAGGGTGAGTGGTACATCAATTCTAAAGGTCACACGTAATGTAGTCCCGGTTGAGGAAGGGGGTGGGGCTATGACCTGGAGTCTGGAAAGGTTTCCTAAGGAAATGACAGCTGAGGTGAGGTGTGAATTTAGGAGTGAGGGAGACTAATTTAGGGAAGAAATCAGGAAGTGCATTCCAGAAAAAGGAAACATATACGAAGGTCCTACAGTCAAAAGGGCCGAAGACATGGAGGGGCTACAGCAGATGGTGAGCATAAGAGGGAATGGAGCTCCGTGATGGACAGGGTATTTTTTCTTTTTCATTTCTTTTTTATGTTGCATATCGATCCCAGATGGACAGGATCTTAAAGACCCCTGTGCTCAGTTTGTTTGTTTGTTGCCCTCGATTTGGGAAGAGGGAATCTTAATTGAGAAAATGTCCCATAAGATTTGCCTGTAGACAAGTCTGTGGCCATTTTCTTTATCACTGATTGATGTGGGGGTGGCAATGCCACCCCTGAGCAGCCAGCCACTCCCGGGCTGTTAAGGAAGCAGGTTGAGACAGCCAGTGAGCAGTGTTCCCCCAGGGGCTCCTGCTCCAGTTCCTGCCTTGGGGGCCTTAGAGGATGGGCTGTGATGTGGAAGTGGAAGCCCAATGACCTCCCCACCCCCCCCCACTCCACCTCACCTCCCCACCCCCCACCCCACTCCCACAGTTGCTTTTGGTCCTGGTGTTTTATCACAGCGATCAAATCCTAAGACAAGCAACCCAGGAAGGGTTGGACAGGTGACTCAAAGGTTAAGAGCACTTGCTGCTCCTGCAGAGGACTGGAATTCAGTTCCCAGCATCCACGTGAACAGTCTGTACTCTAGTTCTAGGGTTTTGTTTGTTTGTTTAGATTTATTTATTATGATTACAGTGTTCTGCCTGCATGTCTACAGGCCAGAAGAGGGCACCAGATCTCATTATAGATGGCTGTGAGCCACCATGTGGTTGCTGGGAGTTGAACTCAGGACCTCTGGAAGAGCAACCATCTCCAGCCTGTGTTCCAGGGTTTCTGACCCTCCCCTCTTCTGGCCTCCATGGACATTCCATACACATGGTGCACATACATTCCTGCAGCAAAACTTCAACAAACAAAAAAGCTCTGCCTGTGTGGTGGCCCACGCCTTTAATCCCAGCACTCGGGAGGCAGAGGCAGGTGGATCTCTATAAACTCAAGGCCAGCCAGGTCTACATAGCCAGTTCCAGCTAGGGTTGAATAGTGAGACCCTGTCTTAAAAACAAGACCACCTTAAGGACCATTTGTGCTGTTGGAAGACCAAATGAGGGGGTGGGGTCATTTAACTGACTCTTCCCACACTCATTCTCCAGATCCTGAGCCATCCTTTTCCTCAAGGTTCCCAGCCATTCCAAAACATCCTCACTACCAAACTGTTGCATGCCTGGGAACTCTATTTCTAGTCAGATAGAGAGGACAAGGACAGACCAAAGAAATGATCTATCCAAGTATAGTTTGGTTATTTGCTTTAGCTACTTACAGGAGCTTGGGTGCCGGGTTACCTATTGAAGTGGGAAAGCCTAGGGCAGTTTCATCACCAAGAAAAGTGCCCCCACTCATGGATGACAACTTAAGGAAACCCCCTGACACAACTCTCAGGCATCTACAACATTTAAGAGTCTCCATTCCCCAGCAACACTTTGCTGTTTATTTGACCTGAGCCAAGAAGCTCAGAGTCTGTTGTAAGTTTTCTGGGCTTCCTAAATTTGTATTTCTTGTGAGTTTCATGAGCCTGCCCACACATGCCCTCCAAAGAGACATTTTTTGTTTTGTTTTTTGAGACCTGTTTCTCTGTGTAATAGTCTTGGCTGTCCTGGAACTCACTCTGTAGACCAGGCTGGTCTCAAACTCGTAGAGATCTGCCTGCCTCTGCCTCCCAAGTGCTTGGATTAAAGGTGTACACTACCATTGTCCAGCTTTTTTTTTTTAAAGATAGAGTCCCACTGTACAGCTCAGAGACTCACAGTGTAGACTATGTTAGCTTCAAACCAGTGGTAATCCTCCTGACTGTGTCTCCCAAGTGCTGGAATTACAGGTGTGTGCCACTATGCCTGGCAGTCAAGGGGATGCTTGAAAGATGAAATGGCTACACACACAACCTGTGGCGGTTTGTTGTGGACTATTATTTTAACTATGTAAAGATGTATTATATTTGTTTATGTTGCAGAATATTACTTTAACTATGTAAAGGTGTCACCGGGTGGTAGTGGCTCACACCTTTAGTCCCAGCACTAGGGAGGCAGAGGCAGTTTGATCTCTGTGAGTTTGAGGCCAGTCTGGTCTACAAAGGGAGTTCAGGACAGCCAGAGCTGCACAGTGAAACTCTGTGGTGAAACACAAAAACAAACAAACAAAAAATGGCTCAAAGAGGCTCATGAGGGAGTAGCACTACTTAGGACTAGGAGGTGTGGCCTTGTTAAAGGAAGTGTGTCAGTCTGAGGTTTAAAAACCTAAGCCAAGCACAGTAGCTCTCTCTCTTCTCACTGTCTGCAATCTCCCCTAGCACCAAATCTGCCTGCATGCCATCCTGCTCCCTGCCATGATGATAACGGACTAAACCTCGTAAATGCTTTCTTTTATAAGAGTTGCCATGGGGGCTGGAGAGATAGCTCAGAGATTAAGAGCACTTGACTGCTCTTCCAGAGGTCCTGAGTTCAATTCCCAGCAACCACATGGTGACTCACAAGCATCAGTAATGAGATTTGGTGCCCTCTTTTGGCCTGCAGGCATACATGCTCGTAGAAAACAGTATACATAATAATTAAAAAAAGAAAAAAGATTCTTTAAAAAAAAAAAAAAACCAGCACTCGGGAGGCAGAGGCAGGTGGATCTTTGTGAGTTCGAGTCCAGCCTGGTCTACAGAGCTAGTGCCAGGACAGGCTCCAAAGCAATATAGAGAAACCCTGTCTCAAAAAAACAAAAACAAAAATAATAATAATAATAATAATAAAGAGTCGCCATGGTCACAGCGTCTCTTCACAGCATAGAACAGTACTGAAACACAACACGGTCATTACTATGCTCCAAGCTCTAGGGTGAGTACCTCATCCAGGCATCACCACTTAACAATGGAAGTCTTATTATTATCCCATTTTACAGATGAACACTGAGGTTTGACACTAAATTATCTCATATGGTAGCTATTGCTATATGATATTTTCACCATCTTGACCAAGTCTGATTGATTCCCAAAACCAGGAAAGGGATGGTCCTATTGGGGCACTCAAGAAATGTCATTTGAAATGAAGATCCCCAGGTGGATTGGAGGAAGACCACATTGGAACTTCTCAGTTCTGTGCTCTTGCTTAGTAATGCCCTGGCTTCTGAGAGAAGGTTGGCAGGGAAAGTTCCCTCACTCATCCCCCCATGAGCCATTTGTCAAGGCATTTATTCCTTCCCAGTACAGAGCCAGGGGCTGGAGAGATGGCTCAACAGTCAAAAGCAGTATTGCTCTTGCAAAAGAGCCAAATTTAGTTCCAGCATCCATACTGGGAAGGCTCACAACAGCCTGTAGCTCAGCCTCAGAAAGATCAGACACTGAAGTGCTCTTTCTATATCTCATACATATATACAGAGAGAGAGAGAGAGAGAGAGAGAGAGAGAGAGAGAGAGAGAGACCTGAAAGACATTTTTTTTGTTGTTGTTTTGTTTTGGGTTTTTTGTTTTTTTTTTTTTTTTTTTTTTTTTTCCGAGACAGGGTTTCTCTGTATTGTTTTGGAGGCTGTCCTGGAATTAGCTCTGTAGACCAGGCTGGCCTCGAACTCAGAGATCCACTTGCCTCTGCCTCCCGAGTGCTGGGATTAAAGGTGTGCACCACCACCGCCTGAAAAAGAAGTATTTTTTGGCCACTCTCCTCTTCATTCTCTGCATAGGCAGCATGCTTACTTCCATACACACTCAGCATGCATACTTTCATATATATTCAGCAGCCATCTCTATCCCCACCCCCATGAGCTAAAGAACACCTCCCACCCCTTCATGAGGCACACAGATACGCACGCAGGCAAACACATAAAATTTAAAAAGTGACTGGGAGGTGGTGGTGCACGCCTTTAATCCTAGCACTCTGGAGGCAGAGGCAGGAGGGTCTCCATGAGTTCGGACAGTCAGAACTGTAAAACAGAGAAACCTTGCCTTGAAAAACAAAAATAAGACAAAACAAAGTGAAGTGGAATCTGGGGAGACGGCTCAGTAGATGACTAGATGACGTGCTTGCAAGAGAGGAAGACCTTCAAAACCCA